GCATGACCATCATTGAAGCCTGGAAGACGGAACAAACCTATGGTGGACCTTTAAGTAGCAGAGATGGTGGTTGCCCAAACGTCTGTTCCATCCAAGGTCAGTGTTGCTTAGCTAATGACACATTTTAGGTTATGTTTAGTCAAAACCCCAGCTCAGGAGCAATCTTAATCTCGTAGCATATCCTCATTTCCTCCAAACATTCTATTTCCATATGGAATTTTTAAGATGTATTTATTTACTGAAAAGCAGAGTGATAGGGGTGAGAAAGAGACAGAGAAAGATAATTCATCTGCTGGCTCTCTCCCCAAATTCTCAAAACAGCCAGGAGACATGAACTCCAACTGAGTGTCCCACATGGGTGGCACCGAGCTAGGTACTGGGACCATCATCTACTGCCTCCCAGGCACATTTGCAGGAAGCTGAGTCAAAAGCCTGGAATAGCTGAGACTCCAACCAGGCATTTGGGTACAGGGCTCAGGCATCTCAAGTGGCAGCTTAAGTCACCATGCCCCAAAGCTTGCCCCCTTATATGCAATTATTTAATCTCATCTTTAAAAAGGCACCATCATTTAGCCACAACACTCTTAAAACTTCAGGGTGCCAAGGTATTCTAACTTCTGAACATGTAACATGTCCTTTGTTGGGGGGGAAACTTGTGATCACTGGAGACAGAGGGGGAGGGGAAGATGAGGAGGGAAGGTGTGCAGGGAGGAAAGGCAGGGAGAGGAGGAGATGGGGGAGGATGGGGAAAAGGGAGAGGAAAAGGAGGAGGGAAAGGGAGAAGAAGAGATGAAAATAGAAAGGGGGAGTAGGAGGGGAGAAGAGTAGGAAGAATCTAGGGAAACCAGGCACCAGACAGAAATTATTTTAAATTGTCCTATTCAAAAGGCTGAAAACCCATCAGAAAACTCTTATCTCTGATGAGCCCTCAAGCTGTCCTTGGAATTAATGCCAAATTGGCATGGAACTTTTCAATTCTGCTCGTATTGGCAATGAGGCAGTTCCATTGTCAAGTGAACTCTGGCTATGATTGCAAATGTGACAGAGATGCGCAGACAGGTAGTAGGATGTAATTTCGTAGTCTCTGTGATATATTCAGGAAGGCATCTTGCAATATGACATAGAAAAGAAAACCAGGCTAATAACCCAGCACATGCAGACTGTTCATTAAAGCAGCACAGGAATAGACTTGTTAAATTATAATTGTTTTTATATTTACAATTTCTCCAATAAATTATGGCTTAGTACACTAATTAGATTGTACATTGCAGTACCTGCACGTGCTGCGTTCACTCACGCCACAGCTGGCAGATGGTGTGGAGCAGATGATTCTGCTCGCAGGAGCCACGGAATTTTAAACAGACGAGTGTAATTGTGCGTGCTGCATCTCTGTGTCTCTCCAGCCACGTTTGTGGTCAGACCTGCTGTGTGCACGTGCGCATCACAGCTCAGCGTCACTGCCGAGCCCTTGTTTTGGAAAGTGTTCATGCTTTCTTTTCTAAGATCCATATTACTTATTTCAGAATTTTAGAGCAAATGTCATTGTGCAGATAAATGCCGTCATGTTGCTACAAACCACTTGAAGACATCCCTGCTAACTGATGCACCTGTGTTTCTTTCAGATAGATTACTTGACCTATCGAAAGTCTCGCTATTCATAAATCCACATCATCTACTGAAGGAAGATTTTCCCAATTTATTGAATGTTTGTTGAGTGACTGCTTGTGTCACTGCAGAAGAGAATGAAAGGACAGAACAGAACATGCAGAAACATATGGACGTTTGTCATGAACGTGGAGAGATTAAATCATCGAGAAACCAGAGGTGAAAGTCACGAGGAAGAACGCTGACCTGTCCCCCAGCTGTTTGCAGAGCTTGCTGTGGCCACTCATCCTCCTTTGGGAAAACAGGTTCCTGGATGCTGAGGTCCGGGTACCAGCATCTTACTAGGCACTGCAGCCTCGCCCAAGGACAAGGAACCCAAAAGAAAGGAAAGTTTCACTCCTCCTCAAGGCCCCTGCGAGGCTCCTGATGGTTTGGAGGCTTCTGAAGGGCAGGGTTGGTGACTCAGACCATGCTGTGAACCCAGCATGGACTAAGCATTCACACCACTAACTCACAGACCCGTAGTTTATGTAGTTTTTACCTGTGGATAGAAGGGCGGGCCAAACTTAAAAAAAAAGACAGTGTTTTTAAAGCTGACTTTGTATCTTATGTCAATACTCTGAAACATGAGTGTTCTTCAAGGAAAAACAAATACAGGGCATAGCCTGTCTGTACTTGCAGGCTGGTGACACCCACACCCCAACACAGCCTGTGCCTCGTTGCCAGCTGATTCTCAAGGCCCTTTGCTTAGATCTGTGCACGTTTGCAAACCTTGGGATGAGCAGGGCACGCATGGCCCCCGCAGAACGTGTGCCAGGAGAGAACCGGATTCTCACTCCCCTCCCTTTCTGCTTGTTTTGGAAGAGCACCCAACAGGCATGGGCTGTGATGGTCAGGACTGGGTGGTCAGCTCACAGTTCCTGCATAACCCTCTCCAAGCCCTCTAATCCTCATGTGAAGGAAGAATGGCAGGCGTCTCATCACGTTGGGCAAGGATCCAAGGCCAATCTCAGTACACGCATTCTGTGCTTGTTAGTTTCATGCAAATATTAATTATTGTAATTATTTCTTTCTTTATTCTTCTTATCTACCTGGAATTAAAAAGCCAAAAAATTAATTTCCATCAAACTAAGCTCTAATAACTGCTACTCTAATTAAAGCAACTGCCATAAAGTTGAGGATGATTTGTAGCTCTCAGAAAAGCTCGTTAACCCGAATAAATGCCATTTGGTAGGAGGCTCAGAGAAGGTAATTCTGCTGCAAGAGGTCTCGTGGCACGTATTGGGGGATGTGCACCACCATGGAGCTGCCTTTCTCTCCCTCATCCTGTTGTCTCCTTCACCAGCCCTGACACCATCCCCAAGAAGATCCAGACCAAGACTGGCCACGAGATGCCTCAGGAACAAAATATGGGGAACTTGGAGCTTCCATACAAATAGCATAGGTGTGATCCTTGGTCCTGTGTCCCTTGGTCAGTGTGCTTATGCTTAGATCACTGGAGGAGCCCCTCTGGACGGACTCACGAGGTTCAGTTGCAGAAATGTCATAGGGGAGGAGGACACAGCCTTACCAGCAATTAATTCATAAGTCAAGGGCAGGCGCTGTGGCTCACTAGGCTAATCCTCCGCCTGCGGCGCCGGCACACCGGGTTCTAGTCCCGGTCGGGGTGCTGGATTCTGTCCCAGTTGCCCCTCTTCCAGGCCAGCTCTCTGCTATGGCCCGGGGGTGCAGTGGAGGATGGCCCAAGTGCTTGGGCCCTGCACCCCATGGGAGACCAGGAGAAGTGCCTGGCTCCTGCCTTCAGATCAGCGCGGTGCGCCAGCCGCAGTGCGACAGCCACTGGAGGGTGAACCAACAGCAAAAGGAAGACCTTTCTATCTCTTTCTCTCTCTCACTGTCCACTCTGCCTGTCAAAAAAAAAATCATAAGTCAAGCTTAGTGTGTGGAGACGGACAAGGTGGGAGATGGAGAGTGTGTGAGGTGTTCTTGTGGCATGTGGACTTTCCTGAGACAGCTGGGGCTCAGTTTATTTGGATATTTGAGATGGAAAACATGATTGGATTATAGCTTAACAGCATATCTCTGTAGCTCTACCTAGAAATAAATTCCTGGGAATCTGTCTTGGGAGCAAGGATCCCTGGAGGAGACTGATGCTTACATGTGGAACTGACTTAGGACTAACCTATCATGATCAGGATTTCATGGCAGCTTGGCTGCAGGCCGTGGGGAAGGGAGATGGGCCAAGAAAGACCAAGGGTGTTGGCACGAGCAACTCCAAGTAGGAATTTAGGCTGAACGTTTCAGTAAATACCCTTGTGGAGGCACATCAAGTGCAAAATGAGATTGTGGAGATCAGGGAACTGTCAGGGTTTGAACTGGGACTCATCAATACTTGACACTGAAAGCTGTGAATCGGAGATGGGCACCCGAAAGTGCAAGGTAGATAGAGAAGAGGGCTACACCTGGGCTTCCCAGCTGTGATCACAACCATCACAGAAGACGGAGAGAGACAGAGAGGAAGGAAGGCCTTTGTCTGACAGTGAGAGGGGAATGAAGGGATAAGTGATGAACTATGCCAACTTCTTCTGATAGGGCCTGGGCCTGAAAATCAGTGTGTGGATCTTGGTAAGTGGAGGTCGCCTTGTCAGAGTCTGCCTGGGAAGTCACAGAGAAGTCCTGATGTGGCTGCATTCAGGTGCAAGAACATTAGACAGTGATGTGAGGATGCATTTCCAAGGGGTTTGTGATAAAAAGAAGCAGCAACGTGGAGTAGGGTGAGTGGGATCCAGAGGTGAAGGTGAGATAAAGGAAGAGTGGCTGTTTGCAGCATCTACTGGCATCTGTTGGTTTCATTCTGCTGGGGATCAGTCAGAAGGGTAAGACAAACTGATGAACGAAGAGGGGCAACAGGTAAAGTCAGACACTTACTTAAAACAAAGTGAGATGCTATCTGCTTCTTTGACTGCGCTGGTGCTTCGCACTAACGGTGCAGAAGCAATGGTGGATGAAATGGCTCACCCAGAGAAGAAACAGTCAGGTCATGGCATCAAAAGGCATTAATAGTCCATAAGCCATTGTTCTTGTTGTGCTGTTCTTTGTAGTTCACACACACACACACACACACACACACACCAGTTTTACTCGCTGCCCTTGATGACACCATACATACTGCTAATACTTTGATACTGTTGAACGACAACCCTGTGTGCACATATTCTCATTCCTCTATGTGCTTAGCGTGAGGAATGCACAAAATACTTCCACTGCTGATCATGCTTATGTCATGCACAGAGCTAGTCAGCACTTGAGCTTCCAGCTGAACGAACTGCTCTCTTCATAGAACAGTCTTTTTTTAAAATTTTTATTTAATAGATATAAATTTCCAAAGTACAGTTTATGGATTACAATGGCTTTCCCCCCATAACTTCCCTCCCATCTCCTGCTCCCTCTCCCATTCCATTCACATCAAGATTCATTTTCGATTCTCTTTATATACAGAAGATCAGTTTAGCATATACTAAGTAAAGATTTCAACAGTTTGCACCCACACCAAAACACAAAGTGAAAAATACTGTTTGAGTACTAATTATAGCATTAATTCACATTGTACAGCACACTAAGGACAGAGATCCTACATGAGGAGTAAGTGCACAGTGACTCCTGTTGTTGACTTAACAAATTGACACTCTTGTTTATGGCATCAGTAATCACCCTAGGCCTTTGTCATGAGTTGCCAAGGCTATGGATGCCTTTTGAGTTCGCCGACTCTGATCTTATTTAAACAAGGTCATAGTCAAAGTGGAAGTTCTCTCCTCCCTTCAGAGAAAGGCACCTCTTTCTTTGATGGCCCATTCTTTCCACTGGGATCTCACTCATGGAGATCTTTCATTTAGGTCTTTTTTTTCCAGAGTATCTTGGCTTCCCATGCCTAAAATACTCTCATGGGCTCTTCAGCCAGATCTGAATGCCTTAAGGGCTGATTCTGAGGCCAGAGTGCTATTTAGGGCATCTGCCATTCTATGAGTCTGCTGTGTATCCCACTTCCCATGTTGGATCGCTTTTGTCACGCACAAAGCTAGTGAGCACTTGAGCTTCCAGCTGAATGAGCTGCTCTTTCCATAGAACACAGTCTTTATTTAAAAGGATGACTAACGAATAAACTTTCTCCTCCCACCTGGGTATGTGGCAGACATTTTTGGCAAGTGAATGAGGTGAACTTAACGCTTTGGGGACTTTCAGGAGAAAAATTATAGCAAATTTGCATGCATCACACTGTGCTTCACAGCTGCCCCACAGTTGGCAATGCTTCTGAGAAGATGACCAGTGGTCACAGCAGATGGGATATATTTGCTTTGTGTTATGATATCTTCAAACTCTGAGCAACTCAGAGAACCAGTATTTTCTGAAGGAACAGCACATGACATTACAAATTTCTGCATAGGGTAGATCATTCAAATCCAGGGGAAACCAATAGAACAGAGGACAACAGGACCTGATTGGAGTTCCAGCGTCCCCACTTCAGTTAATCCTTTTTGTGGCCAGGGTTGGGGCAGAGCCAGTTAAGTTACCACTTGTGATGCAGACATCCCATATCAGAGTACCAGTTTGAGTCCCGGATGCTTGGATTCTGATCCAGTTCCCTGCTACACACCAGGGAAAGCAGCAGTTGATGACCAAAGTGCCTGGGCCCTTGCCATCCACATGAGAAACCCAGACGGAGTCCCTGGTTCCTGGCTCTGGCCTTGCACAGCTCCAGCTGTTGAGGCCAGTTGGGGAGTGAATCAGCAGATAGAAGATTTTCTCCCTCTCTCTCTCTGCCTTTCAAATAAACAAATTTTTAACAAGCACTTTTCAAGTGGTGATGTAGTATCAGAGAACAATTTACACACTTCTCGGAACAGGCTATTAAAATATTCCTCATGGATACCTGAACCTGCTTCAGCTGACAGTTATTGGCACAACTGATACAGGAGAATTGAGGGTGCAGCTGCCTTCTGCACAGCCTCCTATTGGAGAGAATTACAAACTAAATTCCACTCTTCTTGCTCAGCCTGCATAAGAAGTTGTGTCAACATGGCATGGAGTTTGTTATTTGTGGAGAAAATAGTAAATAGGACCTGAAATTTCTCAGTTTAATTACCAGCGCAGTACATGTCAGCAGGGTGTGGCCACATGAATCAAACCCTTTACTGTCCTCAACCACATTCAAGGGGTTCTGGGCTCCAAGTAGCTGAGCAATGCATGATGGAGCTGCAGTGACAGTGCAGGTGTCTGCGGGTGCCTTTGAAGTGGGCAATCATGAATGAAGCCTGAGCCGGAGCAGGGGCTGGCATGTTACCCCGAGACACCGCCATGTGTCAGGTGTAGCCGGGATATAAACACAAGTTGTTCCTCCAGTAGACCCCAGTGTCACCGCCTGTATCCTTCACCAGACACAAACTTCGCATCAGCTCATTGGTTGCTGAGGCCATTGCACAGCCCCTCTCCCCTGACCTCGTATAAACCTCATTATCTCCCAAGGTTCCTGCTTCCAAATACTTTCACCATCAACACATGAACTTGGGGATTCCGTTTCCATCACATGAATTCTGGGGGACAGCCTCATGTCATAGCCGGATTCAGAACTGCTTCCCTTATTCCTGCCGCGTCCTTTCTCTGTCACACTGACCGCATCTCCAGACCCTCTGAATTGCCCTGAGGTCTTCAAACTTTAGAGTCTGCACATCAACCAGGCTGACAGTGTTCCTGCTGTCAGCTGTGAAGTGATAAAATTCAGAGCCAACTCTTTCTAGTTAGATGAGTCAGAAAGAGACAGGGAGAAGACCATGGCCCCCGAAAAGACAATGCTAAACAGGAAACGACCAGTCTCAGCAAGCACTCTTTTCTTTCTGCTTAGTCATATCGCAAGTTAACCAGCCTTGTGACTGTGGTCTCAGACATTTGCCCTTGGATTTCATGCTTATGAATAATTCTTGAGTTTAGTATAATTCCCATGTTCTCCCCACCAAAAAAAATTTTTTTCTTGCTTGCTTGCTTGCTTGGTTCTCAGGACAAAGTGAGAATTCATGAGAGAAGGAGGACTACAAGCTCTAAGGCTGGGCCTGGCTCTGATCCTATTCTGCCTGTATACAAATACACTGTGTCCTTCTCACAACAGACAGAATTATGATGCCTCTTCCTCTGTCATTGTTGCCGTTTAATGGAAAAGGCAAGAATGGTCCTGAATGCAGGTTAAGCACCTACCTATGCCATCCTGGTGCAGTACATGCTCTGTAGGTGGGATTTCTACTGATGATGTAGCAAGGAATGAGAAAATCAGGACATTTAGTGTCTGCATTTACACTATCTGGTTCTGGTCAAGGGATACAGAAAGGTCTTCCTCATCTATAAGATCACGCTTATTTGTTCTGCTAAAAAGACACATTTATAGGCAAATACAAAAAATGATCAGGAACAAATGCCCCAAAACAGGGCCTGCTGACCCAGCACCCACTGGAACTGAGAGGCTGAGTGTCCACTCACAGGTCCAGGTGGTGTGGTAGGGCCCAGCCAGCAGCGCTAGGCTTGCATCTGGACACACCAAAGGGAGCCGGCTCAGCACCAAAGTTTCACAGCTCCCATGAAACATATGGCCCAAATGGAAAGCATTGCTACTTTCAAAAATGATCGAATATGTATGGAAGAGCAGAAGGAAGATAGATGGGCAGATACAGCGCAGCCTTGTGCAATGATAAAACCTGTGCTTACAGACACAAATTTGGCGGTTCATACATTCACTCGACAAACAGCTATTCACTGGGCAACTTTCCTGCACCAGAACTCAACTGCTGCAGATACTATAGACACAGGACTCTTAACTCTGGGGTGCTAGAGAGAGGTCATACAATGACAGAACAAGGTAACATTTCACAGAACCAAGGAACTTTAGGTTAGGGAGGAATATTCCACAATATCTGGTCCAACCCCTCCATTATTGAAAAGACCCAAAAGTTTAAAGTCAATGCCAGAAATAGTTCTGGTGCTCCTTTTTCTGCATGATGCCATCAATCCCTTGTGCTCCTTCCTCCTAGGTGCCCACAAACTGAAGCACACACTGGCTCAAAGGTGGGGAAAGGACTGGGTGTTAGGCACGGTGATGCAGATGGATCTCAGGATGCCGGCATCCCAAATGTTGGTGTGCCTGATTGGAGTCCTTCCTCTGTTGCCTATTCTGGCTTCCTGACAGTGATGACCTCTGCAGGCAACAGTGATGGCTCGAGAGAGAGATCCCTCAAATTGAGTTAAAGGCTCTTGGCTTCAACCTGGACAAGCTCCAGCTTTTGTGGGCATTTGGGGAGTAAACCAGAGGATGGAAGGTCTATCTCAGTCTGCCTGTCTGTCTCTGTCTCCCGTTCAAATTGATCAGTCGATTTAAAAATCCAGGAATAAAGATGTTCCAGGCAAGCGTACAGTGTTCCAAATCCAATACAACTGGATCACTGAAGTTAGGAAACAATATAAAATTTAAAAATCCATCTAAAAATATTTATGCTCCTTATAATAGCTTTTAAGAAAAGTGCTTTTGATTTCATATTAGTAGGACATTAAAATTACAAATAAAAGTACATATATGTCCAAATTTTCTAGAGTAAATTCTGCAAATCAAGGTTCAGAATTCTATCAAATTTTCTTGAACTTTGCTAGCAATAGGAAGCGGTGTGTAGGAGAAAGGGTGTTTAAAAAAATGACAAGCAACGAGCCCTCTTCCATTAGTACTTAAGTACTTTAACTCTTTATGATACTCACCAAAAAGGAGACTCCGCCTTGCATTGTGTTTTTGAGGTCAGGGCAATTTTATGAGTTCAATAATATTAATGTGCTTTTGAAAATGCTCCCTGCTAACTGTTTCAGATCAAAATAGGCTGGGGTAATCATGCAGGTTAATTGCTGTTTACATCATAGAAATATTTTATCATAAATGAAATTTCTGGGAAAATGCTATATGTTTGTGATTTCAAACACAGAACCTGCAGGCTGGAGAATGTCGTCAAATTTGACTGAGTTCACTTTCATTCTCTTTCACAGCCCTGACCAAATGTCATCACTAACAAGACTCAAAATGCCAGCATCACTGTGTGCTGTCCACCAGCATGAGTAACCCTTGGAAAAGAGCTAACAAAACCTGCTCAATATGGATAACTTAATTTAGCCACAGTGTTCTCTATTATAGACTTCCTTCTTAACGAAGCTTTATATATGTAAGCATGAATGATAGTATGTATTTGAATCTGTTGCTAATATTACAGTTATGAAAAATCATGCCTCCATTGGCAACCATCTCCAAATCAAAATGCTGGAATTATATTTTTTAAAAATGTCATTTCTCTTGACATAACTGAGATGACGACATCTTAAAGATGTGATATTTCTGGTTAAGGCAGACACCTTCCATTGGGCTGTTATCAGTCAAGTGACAGGGAGCTGCACCGCCCTCCCCTTTCAGTGGGGGTTAGCGCCCCCTGGTGGATTTGTGAGGGCACTTGTGAGTGCTGGCGACCTGCAGTAGAGTAAGCAGCAGGAGGACGCTTTGCCCCACCCTGTGCTCAGCAGACATCTTTAACAGATCTGCCTTTTTATATGTATTTTGTAGACAGGAATTATATGCAGGGGCCAGATAGAAAGTCTCCTAAACCTGAAATAGTGGGTCTCAAAAATGAAAGCTATCCATTGGTGTTTGATTGAGTATAAGTTCGGGCACAGTGGTGTGAACAGCCAGTACATTTTGTGGAAGATGAGGCGAGATTACTGTCAGCTACAGAAACAAGCGGTCCCTGTGGGCTCCTCCCACCTGAGCTCACCCACAGGTCACTCCTGTGCTGGTGTCCCAGGGCCAACGTTTGTTCAAAGATGAACTCCACTGGCCAACTGTCCCAGAATTTAGAAACTCGTATTTTCCCTTGTCTAGTCCAGTCTATAGCTGATTAACCAAGGCCCAGAAAGGCCACACAGGGAGGGAGAGCTTGAGAAAAGAACTCAGGGCTCCTGAGATGGTAGCATGATGACGGGGTCCCTGTTGATTCTACCCTGATATTACTCTTAAAAACAACAAAACAAAGAGAAAAACTCCACAAATTTCTTTGAGAATCTACAACCCTCATATTTCATTTATCTCTGGAGAATGCCATGGGATCCACTATCTCTGCAACAGAGAAAGAAAAAAAAAATCTGCCTTGACTTCACAACTTTCAGCCAAGAAGATAAGCAGACCCACTGAAATAAAATCAGGGAGTGAGAGGATCTTTTTCTCCCCACAAATCTCTGCCTCTCCCAAACCTGAGTGTGAGGCATGAGGTTTCCCAGCGAACTCTGGCTATACTTGGACGCTGAAATCTCCCGTGAAAACCGAAGGTCACTGTGCCCCCAGGTCTTGGTAGCCATTTGCCTGAGACAAGAGGGAGCTTGCTCTCAGGTGAATGCAGGTGTTTGTAACTTGTGCCATTTTGAGAAGAGATTAAAAGGTGGAGTCCACAAGTTTGAGGAGGAATGTGCAGACCCCTCCTAGTTCTAAGAAAGCCTGCGGCTAGGATTTGAGTGAGGGCAAGGCCCCTAACAGCCCTTAGCATGAAATGGGTTCCCAGGTTAGTTTGCTTTGCTTCTGCTAAGGGTTGGACAGGTTTGATCTCACTCTAAGAGCAAAAGTAAAGAAAGAAGGAACAAAAGAAGTTAATGGTAAGGAAAGTCATAAACTTGGCTGTTAGAGTCTGCATTCCATACGTCAAACCACACACACACACAAAAGAGAGGTAAAGATAGAAGACAGCAAGCTAGGTAGACAGATGATAGATGATTGATAGGTAGATTGTGGGTAGATTAGTGGATAGATACAGATAGATAATCCTGAAAATACAATGCTATATTCTCTTTAGATAACAACTGAATTTGCGAATCAATAGACAGGACTTAATTGAACTAATACATTTAAGAACTTATAAATCTATAAAACTATAGTTTTACTATATCCCTTGATTGAAAGTATCAGTAATACTCTTTTGTTAAAAGTGTGAGAGCACAGCAGTATTAAGAAAAAATGAAATCCAAACATTTGGAACAAAATGGAGGAATCTGGAAAACATCATGCTGAGTGAAAGAAGCCAGTCCCAAAGGGACAAATATCTTATGTTCTCCCTGATCTGTGAGAACTAACTGCGCACCTAAAAGGAAACCTGTTGAAGTGAAATGGACACTATGAGAAAAAATGACTTGGTCACCCCTTGTCCTGACTGTCGAGGAACAACTTACTACTTTATTACTATTAGTATTTTTTGTTCTACTAAATACCATTGGTTGAACTCTTTAATTAACACACAATTATTCTTAGGTGTTTAAATTTAACTGAAAAGCGATCCCTGTTAAATATAAGAGTGAGAATGAGAGAGGTAGGAGATGTACAGTTCGGCACATGCTCAATCAGACTTACCTCTAATGGTAGAGCTAGAAACATGCCAGGGGATTCCAATTCAATCCCATCAAGGTGGCATATGACAATGCCATCTCACTAGTCAAAGTGATCAGTTTCGGTTCATAATTGATCCTAATGATAGGATTAAATGTCAAAGGGATCACATAAACAAGATTTGTGTCTGCTAATACTGATAGAATTTAAAATGAGAGAACGATCCAACATGGGAAGTGGGATACACAGCATACTCATAGAATGGCAGATGTCCTTAACAGCACTCTGGCCTCAGGATCAGCCCTTAAGGCATTCGGATCTGGCTAAACAGCCCACAGGAGTATTTCAGGCTTGGAAAGCCAAGAAACTGTGGCAAAAAGAAAAGACCTAAATGAAAGATCTCTGTGAGTGAGATCCCAGTGGAAAGAATGGGCCATCGAAGAAGAAGGTGCCGTTCTCTGAAAGGAGGCATCACTAAAGAAATAGTGTTGAGAAAATTACCTATGTGGATTATTTCACAGTATTGTTTGGGCACATTTTGTGAAGGAATAGAATGAAAGTGGAATGACAAACAGGAGGAAAATGAAGGAGCCGGTCTGAGCAGCCCTGCCAAGTCTGAACATGTGCCCTATACTTCCTACGGCACTGAAGACCCTACCTGAAAGGGATCTGAAGGCAGAGCTGTCACTGCTGCCCCCGACCTGAGTGAGAAGGCAAGAACTCGAACCCAGTCAGAGAAACCCACCTGCTCACGTGGAAGCTACTTGGGGAAGATGAACCATCCGTACTTTCCGATTGGAAAGGCAGCATAGAGGATGGCTTGTTTATAACATGGTCGAAAAGTCTCTCCTACTTCCCAGTCCAGGAGGAAGGGCATGTCATCAAAGTCCAACCCATCACAGGAAAGACACAGCCTCCCATGCTACACTGCAAGGACATGGGAAGGGGATCGCTGCTTGTGGAGTTTCAGCCTACAGTGCTACAGTGTGGGAGTGACCTTGCCCCCTGTCTCTGAATTTCAATGAGGGTTGAACAGAAACTTGCTTGCTAAAGCACCTGCTCACTCGCTCTTGCTCTCTCTCTCTCTCTCTCTCTCTCCCTCTCTCCCTCCCTCTCTCTCCCTCTCTCTCTCTCCCTCTCTCTCGCTCTCTCTCACCATCATGCACACAAGACAGTGTAGATATGGTCTGGTGAAAGCAGAGTCGTCTCTCGCAGAAGACTTGGCCATTGTAAAGCACTGCACACAGGGAATCCAGAGACTCGAAGGCTGAGCTCTCCTGAACTGAAGTGGACCCTGCTCAAAGGGATTCCCTCAGATCCTGAAGAGCTGCACACGTGCACATGTAGAACAGTGAGGCCTGGGACCGGTCCTGGCAGGACCAAGAGGGAACAGGCACAGGTGGCAGCAGGCACGTGAGACCGGGAAGGAGGAGGACAGCGTGCAGAGGCTGCCCCTTGAGGACATGGTGTCTGGTGCCCACACCGAGCATTCAGTCACAGGAGCGGCTCTGCCCCAACTTCCCATACGTCCTGGCTGAAAAAGTGAGCCAGCCGCAGCTCACACTTAGGTCAGGATGTGCTCCCCAGCCACCACTCAGGGGCCCCAGCAGTCCCTCGCATGCCAGGATACATGCAGGCCAGGCCTCACTCTGGCCAGTGGGTAGACAAGCACGCCCAGGGGAAGGACCAGGCTGACTCTGAGACCAGTGGCAGCTCCAACTGAAAGGCTCTTGGAGCTATTTCTCTGGCATTTCCTCATTCTTTGGGTTACTGAAATAATACAATGATAGGGCAAAAGATAACACAAATAATCATAATATAATCATAAAATACACTCTAAAATACTGATACAGTGTAAAATACGACAAGAACTCACAAATCAGAGATGATACAGTTATAAAGCAGAAGAAGGACTCTCTTCAGCACATGCGACTCGTGTCACTCACTAACCAAGAGGCCCCTCAGACGCAGGCACCGTGACCCCGGCAGCCTGGAGCTCCGCCGCAGCCATGGCTGTGATAACGGCAGCGTTCATTCATTCATCGCTGAGGGAATTGGGATTATTTCCACACAATGCCAGGCTCGGCAGGAAGAATCTTAAGACTCTGAGATGTTGAATGCTGGCACACAGGGTAGCCTGAAGAATCCTGATCCTGAGCTACAGCAGTGGCCCGGGAAGCCTCCCAGCTCTCCTGTCCACAGGGCGCGGTGGGAGCCCTGCTGCCTGAGCCAAGCACGGCCCTTTTGATCCACTGCCGCAGAGCCGGTCGCCCTGGAGCTGGAAGGAATGTTGATGAGTTGGGTCCCCTGCTTGCTGCTAAGCAGGCCTTTGATCTCACACCAATGGCATCAGCTTTCCTCCTGTCCTCCACCCCACAGGTGTGTGCAATGTAGGGGCTGCAGTCCTGCTCCACTGGGATGGACAGAGAACAGCTCCAACCACAAGCCAAGGAGACGGCTGCACAGGAGTCCCTGCACCTGCTGCTGGGTGTGGGCTTGCTCCACCGCACAGAAGATTCCCACCATCACTGGGGTCTGTGCTTACCTCCACTTTCTCCTTGCAAGAGCAGCCACAGGCTGTACCCACATTTACACACACAGGTGCACATAAATATACTACACCACACACACACTCACAGACACACACATACACACACACACACACTTCCATGACCACATTTGAAATCTCATCATCATGTCTCTGGGTTGAATCACAAAATTGGAGAGTTTTGTCTCCTGAAATGAGTTGAAATGTGTATATTACTAGAATGACAAAAGGATTCTGTGTAAAAAACAAAAACGTGTCCTTTTTTTTTCAAATCTAGCCCTCTACCACCCTGCTGGTTTACATTTTAGAATCTAGGAGAGCCATTTGTTAACTCAGAAGCTTTCTTTTGGACAGAGACCCGAGGGAAAAGGTACACAATAGAGACAGTATTGATTAGGACACAACAGTAATTAATGAAAGAAGGATCACCAAGGGCTCACTGGCTTCACTTTGTCAACCCTGAAAGGCACTTGATTTCTCAGACCTCAGTTTTCATGGAATCAAGGAAATCAGACCAAGTGAACACGACGTTGCCTTCACTTCTTAAATACTCTATGGTTACTACCAGAGCGGGCAGTTCAAAGAGGGTAGATAAAGTGGCACGAGGGGAAAGGGTGATGCCTAAGTGCTCAGCCAACAGGAGCTAGCAAGGATGGGGAGCACGGCTTGCCTTGGGGTTTGGGTGAGGGCCTCCCTTCCTGCTCTTAAGAGCTGCAAGGTGACCGAACACCCCCCACCCCGTGAAGGCACTCATGCATTGCTAAACATCCTTCTCTTCATCCTACTACCCGTGGTTTGGTCACTTGTCGTAAGTCGCCCTCTGTGTCTAGATCGTATTGGATAAACGCCCTCTGTGATGGTGACACAAAGCCCACGCTCACTTGGCTAAGGACAATCTATTCAGAGATCATGGAGACCAGCTGCGATGTTCTTCTCAGACTGCAACTCTGTGACTGAGTTTCTAAAGTCGGTAAACAGTGACCAGGCATCTTCTGCCTTGGGGGCTGGGACCACGTCCAGCATGGGGTTCCCTAAACTGCCCACGCTTCATTACCAAGGCGCCTGCTGTAAATCCCAGCTGTGGAGCTGACCTGGAAGTGGTGGATGCTAACATGCTCCTGGCTCGCATGACAAAAATGTCAACTGCCATGCAGACTGTGGCCGTATTTCTTCAACTGAAAGTGGTGAACACTTTGAGGACCGTAAGTGAAAGAATAGACATCGAGAATACAGGCAGCCAGAGCTCTGCTGATGACGTGATGGCAGCAGCAACTGGCTCTACCTTCACTGTCCGTCAGTGTCAACCACACTAAGTACAGTGGATGCCTTGGAAGTGTCTGCATTGATTGTATAAACCACCTGAGAAGGAAGGGCGTCCCAGCCAGGGCATGAGGCCAGTCTTCACATTCATGTATGTGCCGAACAATGAGTTCTTGCAGTAGCTTAAAGCTACAAAGTATGTGAGACTATTTTATAACTAGCTGTGTGTATAGTTAATGACATTTAAAATAATGTTTACTGCGCAATATTGTATAACAGTTATTAGAGTAAAGTTATAAAACAAATCAGAGAAAGAGACAAAGACAATGAGAAAGGAACAGAGGGAAAGGGGGCTCCACGTGTGTACCTCCAGCCTGCAGAGGCTGACACAGTGGAGTCAGCGACAGAGCAGCAAGTGTCGCAAAGCAATGGCATTTCAATCCCAACAACGGAAACAAAAACTCCAGCCTGTGGAAGAGAGCCCTTCTGGAGGCTGGGAGTGGGTCCATGCTTTTCAGGAGAGAGGAGCCGCTCTGAAAACACTGATTCTCCCCTCCAACAGCCTCAAGGCTCTGCAGCTACCACAGAGGTCAGAGACGTCCAGTCCCTAAAAGCTGCCTTTTAAAAGCCCCTCTGCAGGACCTCCCCGAGCCCCAGAGCAGGCCCAGAAAGAGCCTCTGTCTCTGCCTGCCTGCAACAGGGCAGGTAGAAGCAGGCTGAGACCCACAGGAAACAGGGCGAGCTGCTGACTGCAGACCCCCAGCTTCCTGGGGAGGCAGGAACCAGCTTGGGTGTTGGGACAAAGCCCCCACTTCCCGGGTATGGGCGGGCACCTGCCAAACCGCGGCATGGACATCCACTCTGTGGGACTGGAACACACTTAGTCAAGGGGTTTTGGAAGCACAAATCCCAGAACAGAAGAGGTCTGAGACCTGCCATGCTCATCACCTTGTGAAAGTCCCTTCAGGAGCAACCCTGGCCTCCAGTGCCTCACAGGAGCACGTGCAGTAGAAGTGCGCCATCGGAGGGGCTGAGGGCTGTAGAGGATCAGACTCACCCACAGCCAGGGAGGTGAGCCAGTCTCCCCAGCTGTCTCTTGGCCAGCCCTGATGTACACACCTTCTGTTCACAGCAAGTATACTTGCTCAGGAGATGCAAGATGAACGGGGCGGATCCTAAGTCACTACAAATCTGCAAGTAGAGGGACAGAAGTACAGAGAGAAACACATATGGAGAACACTCTGCAGGCTTGCTGGCAGCTCTCAGAACACTTTTTCAATTGTTTTCTTTGTTCCTGCAGGTATCCCTGCAGAACAAGCCTGGCTGTTAGGTTTTTGGCCACTAGACAGGTGCAGAAATTGTGGGAAAGCCATTGTATGCCTAAGGTCACAGAGTCATCCCTGCTAACCTGAGAATCCAGGTTGTGTAACAAGTTACATATTCTTCCCCTACAGCAAGTTACCTGCAAGTATAAAATGTAATGACCTGGGAAGAAGTCACCTCTTTCTCATAAAAGTGCACTTCCATGCCCTCTGGTAGCCAAAAACTTTCCAGGAGACCAGGCCCCTTCCTTGATGCGGTAACACTCCCCTCTCAGGGAAGGTCCACAGGTCTACTCCCCTGTAAGAAACCACTGCAGAAAGTGCACCTTGCAAGCAGCCTCCAAGCCAATGTGGGAGAAAAAATAACCTGACTCTTCCTCCTTCCCCCACTTCCCCTTCCACTGAGCTTCCCCCTGAATTGTTGCTGGACTCCCTTTGCTTCTACCCGCAATTGTTTCCACTCTGCACCCGTGCACGTGTGTGCACAGACATACAAGCAACCGCCCAATCCCAACTACCACCCTTCCTTCCCCCCATTGAAGGTCTTTTTTTGAATCTGATCCAAGCAGGAAGCCTACCCAGACCAGCTGCCCCACATCACGTTCTATTTTTACTCTGATTTTGTTTGACCATGAGACCCTATGATCTGCTTCAGCATTCAAAATGCACTGCAAAATGCACAGTGTGTCTCCTTCCCCTTCACAAAGATGGTTAGCCATCATGCACTGTCAGCTACAGAGATAGAGTGAGGAGCTGAACTGCAAGAGAGATCAGATGATTAGATGTTGCTTTTATATAAAATACATAATCATGTATATAATGCACATGCATACATTTAAATATTATGACACACTACATGACGCATGTCAGTAGTGTGTACATACACTACTGCATACAGAGAGCTCCCTTCTTAGAGGGCTCAGGTTACTGCATGGACAACAGACCTGCTTTGTCACTCTTGGGCAAATCACTATGAGGAAAAATGAAAATAACTTTGAAATACAATTAACTCGCTTATTAAAAAATCATGTGTCATAACACTAGAGATTAACCTACCTAAGGTGATCTGTATAACTTCCTAGTAATAGCTTGCATGGCCAAATCCGCATGTGAAAGGCAAATTGTCTTTGTTAAGCAAGTTGGATCAACCGTATGACCTGCCCCACTAGTCACTGGCTTCTATTCAGAAAGCACTTGGGATATCCTGCCCACCATGCCACAGGCTGGAGACACAAGGCTGACACCCAGTATCTGCCTTTACAGCTCACTCCAGAGCGAAAGGCAGGGAAAGAAATAGTTAAGACCCAAGGAGAAAGCACTGAAAAAAACATGTGAGTGAAATGTTATAACACGTGAAATTAAAAATCCATTCTCTCGGTTCTATTTAAGAATAAACATATCTGAGAACCAGAAAGTTTCAGTTACATCTGTGTTTCAATGCTTTAGTCTTACTGATAGTACCACATGCCTCACCTGCAATATTTACCTGTAAATGCTGAATAGTGGGGCTTCCACACAAGCCTTTCAAACATTCACAAAGGCTCACACCAGCGAGGTGGCTAAGTCGTGGGTTAGAGTAGTGACACAGCTTCTCACAAAATCTAGAGTGAGGACACAAAGCAAATATACAAGCAATTATAACAAAATATCTGGAATGCTGTCACAGCAGAATCATGGGGAAACAGGAGAGAAAAGAAGGTGTATTTATATTTTCACCATCTCTGGTTCTTTCGCCCATTTCCCTTATGGTAAAATGAGCTTATTTTCACTGGCATGTGGCTGTGCACCCACAGACCACATTTCCAAGGCCCTGGGAAGGCAGCGGAGGTGATGTGGTGGCCTGTGGCTGGCTGGTGGAGGAGCAGAAGTCTTCACGTCTACAATTTTCAGATTATCGCCTTCGGAACAGCTTCCCTGACTGTCTCCCTCCTTTCCTGCAGGCCCCGGAGTCTGCAACCGTGAGTGCCCACTAAAGCCAGCCCTGGACCACTCAGCTCTGAGCTCTGCACAGCCAGAGAATAAATGGAGGCTTACTAAAACCACTGTGTGTGTGGCTCTCTTCATTAAAGTAGCTACCGTACTTCAGCTAAACCAGCATAGAAATTGGCCCTTGAAAGGAGGGTGCTGCTATAACAAAACCAAAACTGAAATAGGGGATATCAATTCCACACTTACATGGTGGACACTGTAGACCGATTCCACATGCGGGAATCACTGGTGTCTTGCAATACAGTGACAGAATATTTATCACATTTGGCAAATATCAGAAAAGTTACCAAGCTAAGACCATGCAAAAGATGGACAGCACTGCCCCAACAAAAGGTGGAAAAGGCTCAGAACGCGGTGTGCAGCGGCTCTTCCCCACTCCCGAGCGCAGCAGTGGAAGCGAGGGACGCGTTCAGGCTCCAAGGCGGCCATGTTCGAGTAGGGGCCAGCAGAGGAACGGAGGCCTCCTCTCCCTACGCCCCGCAGCCTGGCTGGCTGAGCGCACAAGTCAGTTCCCACAGGCTGTGAAATAGCGTTCACATCTGCCCACCACCAAGAACTTCTGCGACGCTACTTCTAGGTTGTGAAAACTGGGCTTTGCCACTGTGCAACGGGAGAAATCACGATTAGACCCATCTTCTGATTGGTGATTCCAGAACCAGGATACAGCCCAGATAACAAACATTAGCAAGCACAGGCACCTCTTCGAGGGCTGAGTCCGTCCCTAGCCCTAGGAAAGGAAGTGACGTAGAGAAACGGAAGTGAGGGCGGGATGGTCTGATTGGCTAAGGCTCACGCCTGTCTCACTGGAACGTGGTTTGAGAAACTCGCGAGGCTCCGGCATTCCCGCCCCTTGTAGCCCCTGTGGCAGACACCGCCCCGCAGCCAGGCGCGGGCTTCCTCTAGCTGCTGGTCCTCGCGTCCCGCGGGCTCACCCCAGCCCCACAGCTCCCACCTCGCCCTCGGGCCGGCGTCATCGCTCCGCGCCGGCGTCATCGCTCCGCGCCGCGACTTCCCCTCAGCATCCGCGGAAGGAAGCGCCGGCTTGGCCGCAGGCCCTCATCTCGACCGCTGCGGCCGTTCCGACGTGTCCTCGGCGCCGTTTGCTGCTGCTGCTGCTGCTGCTGCTGCTGCTACTACTATTACTGCTGTTATTACTGCTATTACTGTTGCTATTGCTGTTTTCACCACAGCGAATACCGGGACGGGGCCGTCTGGTGGCGTCGTGCCCTCCGGGTCCCGTTATCTCCCGGATGAGGAACGAGCCACGCAGGCCCGCCCACGGGCCTCTCTCGCGGTCCCGTATCTCCCGGATGAGGAACGAGCCACGCAGGCCGCCCACGGGCCTCTCTCGCGGTCCCGTATCTCCCGGATGAGGAACAAGCCACGCAGGCCCGCCCACGGGCCTCTCTCGCGTGTGAGCCGAGCGCGCCCGTCCTCTTTCCTGCCCCCCCACCCCGGAGCCTCTGGACGCGCGCCCGGGTGGGCCCGCGAGCGTCCTGGGCCCCTCGGGTTTGCAGTCACGAAGCGCGTGGCTGCCTTTGACGAGCTTGGGACACTGCACGACCCTGTGGACCTTGCGTGGAACTCACATCCGCTAGGCTTCCTTCCCACTCTGCAGGCACCAGATCAGATCCTCTCAGGGAGTCGCCGGCTCCCCTGCCACAGCACCTGGAGTATTGGGTGCTCGATGCAAGCTACGGACTGGGGTGCACGTGATGCTTTTTAGCATTCCTATTAAATGCCGCGGTTTTCAAGGCGCTTTCTGATATTTTTTCACTCAGCTCTCTCAACATGCTTCTCAAGTAAGCAGAACAAATATTATCTCTGCGTTTGGAGAAGACAAAATTGAAACAGGAAAGATAAAGTAACTATGACTTCTAGGAAAGATGGCACCGAGTTCACCTCCTGTGCGGCATCTCCGCTTGATGAATCTCACATTGTCAAGTGACATATTAGCGGAGAATGCCAACATACACAAGCTAACTGCAGTCAGGGCTCGTGCACTCCCGGCAGCCTGAGAGAACACTCTGAAACACCAGCACAAGGGCGGCTGCTGTGGCATAGTCGGCAAAACCTGCTACACTGGCATCCTATATGGGCCCTGGTTAGAGTCCAGACTTCTGTGCTTCTGATCCATCTCCCTTCTAATATGCCTGGGAAGGCAGCAGAGGACGACCCAAATCCTTGGGCCCCACTAGGAAGAAGCTCCTGGCTACAACCATTTGGAGAGTGAACCAGCAGGTGGAAGAATTCCTTCTCCCCCACTCCCTTTCAACTCTTTCCAACAAGTAAATAAGTCATAAAAAAAAGTCAAGCAAAGCTGGCACTAGATGTTCACTGGACTGGGACACAGGTTCACCCCTGGGTGTACAGGGAACCACAGTGTTTGCCTCCATGCTTACCACCAAATTTAAGTCCTGAGTGAAGTCTTTAATTACCTTGCAGAGGACCTGAAAATCGAGAACAGTTATCAATTCCATCTTCAGCAATGGTTTTTAAGAACGTATATACAGAGAGAGATGGACATAGTTCAACTTGTGACAAGGAGCTGAGCCAACATTCCTACTGGAATAAGGACACGGACAAACTTGTGATGAGGAGTTAAGCCAAGATTCCCCTTGTCCTAGAGCAGTGCTGCCCCAGGAGCACCCTGAGGAAGTCCTGCCCAGGTACAACTGAGTGACAGGGTTCTAAACTGGAAGACTGGCCAAGTGGAGACAATGAGAAATCTGTAGCAGGGAAGACTAAGCAAAAAGCAATGGAGAAAGAGAAGAAGCAAAATCTACTTCAAGCCTACAGGTCAAATTATCAAAAGAAATTTTAAACAATTTAAAAAAGAAGTACAAAGTAAACTATCCAAAGAATAATTTCCCCAATGGAGTTAGTTTTATAGAAGACTATGACCTTGTAGTAAATGTGAATAGCGTTTTCAAAGTAATAAACACTCAACTCTTGTTATAAAAGTGGTGTTAAACAAAAGAGACCAAAGTTGCCAGATTATCAGTGACTATGTAAAACATCCAAATACAAATAGGAAGAATAAAAATATAGAAATTAAACTTTAAAAAAAGTAGTAGGTGGTTTCTGCAGTTTGGATATGGTGTGAATGATTACTCCCCACCCTTACCCCCAAGGCTTTCTGTATTGAATTTTTTTTTTTTTTTATTTCACAGGTAAAGTTAGACAGTGAGAGAGAGACAGAGAGAAAGGGCTTCCTTCCATTGGTTCACTCCCCAAATGGCCACCATGGCTGGTGCTGTGCTGATCAGGAGCCAGGTGCTTCTTCCTGGTCTCCCATGCGGGTGCAGGGGCCCAAGCACTTGGGCCATCCTCTACTGCCCTCCCAGGCCACAACAGAGAGCTGGACTGGAAGAGGAACAACCAGGACTAGAACCCAGCGCCCATATGGGATGCTGGTGCTGCAGGCAGAGGATTAACCAAGTGAGCCACGATGCCGGCCCCCTGTATTGAATTTTAATTCTCAGTGTAAGGGATAAGGAAGGGGGAAATTTTAACTAAAGAGACAGGATCTTCAGGAAGTGAAGAAGATTAGATGGGGTCATCAGCATAAAACCTTTTTGAGTGAGTCCTGCTGGCTCTGAGAAGAGAGACCAGACAGATACACCTCCGTCCGCTTACCATGGAATGCTTGCATGGCCACAGGACTCTGCCATCCAGAAACTGCCACCACATGTGTCTCCTTGATCTTATGTCTTCAGAATTGTGAACCAGAAACAAACCCCCTTTCTTTATAAAGCAACCTGGGTCGGGTATTTCATTATAGTGACAAAAAGCAGGCCAATACAATGGCATATTAATTTTCTGTTGCCCTGTAACCTATTACACACGGCTGCTTAGAACACCTGTTTACTCAGATGCAAGTATTCAGTGGACCTTACTGGGTTCCTGCACCAGCCTCATCAGGTGAAATCAACATGTCTGCAGGCCAGGCTCCAATAAGAAAGCCACAGGAATGAATCCACTTCCGAGCTCATTCGGGATGTCGGTAAACTCCCACTTCTTGTCACCATTGTCACCCTGTTTCCTTTCCGGTTTCAGCAAGTGTCACTCTCCACTCACAGGGTTATCAGGGCCCCTCCCACACAGCCTCCTCCATCTTCAAAGAGAGAGACGTCCGTCCGGCCAAATCTATTCTGTTATTTCAAATCTCTCTAGCTTCTCTTCCTCTAAGAACCAGGGGAGACTCTGCTGTTTAAAAAAAGGTGAAAATGTTTAGATTCAGCCTTTTCAGATACTCTGCCTTTAGCCAGATAATTTATCACGCAACCCCGGTATGTCTCTTATTCACAGGTTTCACTCACCCTCTGGGGCAAAGATTTTACAAGGGCCAGGGATCTGTGGGCATCATTCTTAGAATTCTGCCTGACACACCTGGCTCCTACTGAAGGCTGGAAAGACTCAGAGAATTAGCAAAATAGCATAAAGGACAAAGTTATACAGGAAACACATGTTTTACAACTTTCTATGAATGTTTTTGAGAGCGATTAAAGAATAAGTCTCTCAACTTATTCTTCCGACAATTGAAGAATGACTCCAACACTTATTTAATAAGAATTCCAGAAGACAGTGAAAGGAGTATCAGGTGGAGAATAAGAAATAATTACTAGTTTTTAAACAATTAAAGAAAGATATAATTTTTATTATAACTTACACACAAGTACAATAAATAAATTACCCATGAAAATCACAATTAGACTGATAGCAGACTTCTCATTAGAATAATAGATGTCAGTAGAAAATAGTGAAATGTCACCATATAGCTGAAAGACTTGTCAACCCAACATTGTGTATGCAATCAAACGATCTTGCAAAAACAATGGGTTCTGGAAATGTCTAATTAAAGTGAAAGCCAAACAACCAGGAAAGGAATAAAAATAACACAGGAAAAGAGGAATTGTGATCAAAGAATCTCTGCTGAAGAGTCACACAGCTACTGAAAAATGGAGCTGGAACTATGGGATTCACAAAAGAGGACACACTTTGACAGTATCAGCTTTGGAAATGTAAAAATAGTATAACTAACAAAAAGCATTCAGTGTGGCTTATGGGGAGATGTTCAGTTATCAGCAGTGATCTGGTGCATACAACTAAGGTGCAGTCACCAAGATATGTTAGAGAAAGACACTTATAGCCACTGAGAACTTCCGAATCTATATTAAGTGTCAGTGTTAATATCTTAATCCCCAGTTGGTGAGTTCTGGAAATAATGACTTCTGTTTTCTCTCCCAAAAGCAAAAATCTCCATTTCATCCTCAAACCAATAGGTTTTTTTTCTAACAGGAATCCCAGTTTGTACAACATGACAAGAATTCTGATTTGGGGGAGGAAGGCAATGAGGGGTTTGTTAAAAAAGAAAAATTAAAAAATAATTCTGGTCTGAATGCTTGAGATTGCTAATATCTAGTTAATACAAAAAAAATGCAACACAGATTCACTAGGGAATATTTTTAAATTAAAACTAAGGTAAGTGAGCTTTTTCAGGACCTATTAGATACTAAATACATACATTAGAAGTGTTACAGAACTCAGCAATACTAGAAATCTTTTTCCTTTAATTTATTGAAGTATTTTTAGAAAAAAAAGTATGTGAAATCTTGTTAACTTGAAACTTTGTAACTTCTTTCAAAGTTGACCATCATAAAGCATTTTATGGTCTTTATGCATCCTGATGATTGTCCAAGTTTTGATCTGAAAACGACTTTGCATCAATTGTCATGCAAATCCCATGAACTGAGATGTACGCAGTACGAGTGGGAGCTGCACAAAGCTGTCAGTGTCAGAAGGTTTGAGTAAATGCTAAGTGTCAGTAGCAGGGGCTCTCCCCTTTCCCAGTCAATTCCCAGAACCCTGATTTCCTTTAAATCTTCCTTTAAACATGATCTCATCCTGACCTAATGATGCTGATTCACAGACACGATGAGGTAATGCACTTAAGATAATGCATCATCGTCGTGGCTCACACAACTGTAAATATTAAGCAGGCTTTCGGTGCAGCATTAACTTTTACAGTAACAAGAAGCTGCAAACTAATGACAGTGCAGCCTCCAGGAACACACTATGATGGGAAGGTTGTGCATAGTGTAAGGGAATGTAGGACAGGATGCCACCTAATTTTATAGTATTCTCATCAAGAAGAAAAGGGAAAAAAAAAAACATTTTTAGGTAATAAATTTTTATATTAAAAAATGTGTATGTGTGCAGGACCCAGGCCACTAAGACTTTGTTTTGTGCTTTTTTTCCTCTTCATTAG